CAGCTCTACTGTTCTATGATTCTATGACACGTGGATGATGATTTATGTGTGAATGAACTTATGATCAGCCACAGCAGGGCTCACCAAGACCATCTCCTGCAACTGGTATCCCAGAGGACAGCATACTGGAGCATTGAGAGGGCAGGATGTCAGCTTCCAAAAGGACGCATTAAGGCTCTTGGATAGAGCAGCAACCCTCTCTAGCCTTTCAGCTAGCGTGTTGTCCAGATCATGCAAGCCCAGCTGAAGTGTTCTGCTAATGCTCCTGCATGTTGTGCAATGGCAAATGGCAGAATTTTGCTAGCGCAGCAACTTCTTACATTAATTGTTCATCACTTTTAGACTTCCAAGAGGGACATGGCTTTGCAAGGTGACCATGTCTCTTTAACATCTTAGCCATTCACCTCTAAGCCATTTTAAATGTTTTTGCCTTCTAAGCAACAGATGCCACATGTGAGTATGAAAACTGCAAGAGTTGCAAAAAAAAAAAAATCCAGTCACGTAACTGCAATGTTCAGGCCACCTAGCAGCAAAAGCTTTGATTAAAACTCTTAGGCTGAGTAATGAGTTGCAGCTGTAGCATAGAGACTCTAAACAGGACCCATGGAGATAACTACTCCCTCTGTAGCTGGTGATGTCAGCACAGCTGTGGAAAGAGCAACCACTGGTGAAGTATTTGCAGGTTAACTGACATTGCCCACACACACACACACGCGCACACACAGAGAGTGCAAGCACACGAGCACTATCCACCAATAACTGTAACACAAGTACAAAATGATTCCCTTGAGGGTGACAAGACCTGTTGTAAGCTGACATTCTGTCCCTGAGGGAGAAAGACTAAGAACACGTGAGATCATATTAACAATATCCATTCCAAGCAACACCAGAAAACAGGGATGTAGACAAGCCAGCTGTAAAGGAATGAAAATATGAAGGGCATTTTTGGACAAGAAGTCTAAATTGGTTCTTGCTTCAATCAAATGCAATGAGAGTGCAAAATCTACGCTGGAGAGAGTGCTCATTTGCATTCCAAATAACTCTCATCCACTTAAACAGTGAAAACCCATACATGCAGAAGAACAAGTACAAAACATATTTCTGTTCCATGCTAGGTAAGTTACAGTGAAGAAAGTGTCTTCCTTGCTGAGAATTAGCCTACTCTTCCAATTAGCAAATATGAAATGAAAGTTTGAGAATAGGACTACAGATGTTACCTAGTAGGATACCTCCTATTCTATATCAAAGACAGGCTGTGAGCCAGTCATGATACCTCTGAGAAGACCCTCCCTGTTTGGCTGTGGTACATGGTTAATTCCCTGTTGCTTTGAGAATTTGCCAGAGGTAGATGCATAAGAGGGAGATCTGGAGGGTGGAGGTTTGCACCTCTTTCATCCCAAGGGTTTTGAGACTCCTGGACTCAGCAGTCTAGTTGGAAGCAAGGCAGAGAGGTAAAAGACAGCCTATTTTAGCTTAAAGCTCTTACCACCAGTAACGAAGGAGAGGCATATCAACATTTCAGAACAGAGAAGAAGTTGCACAAATGCCAGGAAGCCACCAAATGATTGGTGGTTGAGGAAAGGGAGTGAAGCAGGGGAAGAGGGTATGGCCATCTGGAGAATCCCAAAGCACCATATGGGTATCACAGGAGGCCCAGATTTAGTCCTCAAGCCTGAGGTTCTGCATTCCCACTCTACCCAAAAAGAAGGAGTCCAATGGTAATTCTGAGTGCAGTAGGACCCCCGTATCTTCTGTATCAGTTACTGCAGTTTCATTTAACTGTGGTTGACCGTGGCTCTCCACATTCACAGGAATTTGGGGTGCAGGACCCCTGTGAGGGTGGACGAACCACAAATATCTCTAGAGTCCTTGCACCAACTGAGGGACAAAACATGTGAGTGAGGCTAATTAGTACCCAGACAAAGAGTTCCCAAACAGTCTCTAAAGGTATTCACGGTTTTTCCCTAGAGATATTTCCACTTTTTCACCTTGATGGGGGTCCTGTGCCCCAGCCCCCATGAATGTGGAGAGCTGATTTTACAGTATATAGTGCTCATTACTATCTGCAGTTTCAAGCATCCACTGTGGGGCTTGGAACCTATCCACTGCAGATACAGGGGTCCTACTATAGATATATCACCACGTGGCCAGGAAGTAGCTACTAAAATAGGCCAATATAACACGCATAAATGAACATAACAAAGGAATCCTTCTGCATATCAATTTGCTTTTAGACAGGCATTACTTGAAAAAACAAGTAGATACCAATGACTACACATCAAGTCAACCTGACAAAACTTCAAATATACAACATGCGTTGCTTTGTATTAAAATGTTATTGTATATTATACACATTAGAACAGAGTTAAATAAACTGCAGATGATATACAAGCAAGGCTTCTGTAGGTATTTCTGATATAAGAAACCAGTGCTTATCTTTCCAAAGGTTCTTTACCACTGGAATCCAGTTTGAGTTGCTACAGGAGCAATCCTATGCATGTTTAAAATTCCATGCAGAATGCTAAGAGTTGTTCTGCCTAAATATGCAAAGGATTGTGCCCTAGCTTTCTCAGAGGAAAGTGCCTTGGGCACTGGGAAACACTTCTACCTCTTTTTAGATGTGCCTACAAAAGACAGCTGAAAATGCAAAACAACAACCTGAAAGTATGTGCTGCAGTTGTCAGTGATTCTGGCATATGACATGCATAAGATGAAAATAAATCATAAGCAACTATCTAATATAGGCCTGATATGAAGAGAAATAGTCATATTAGCAGCTGTGACTCTGACTATTAACAGCTATGCAGGTCAAAGGTCCTACAGGCTTCACATGCCCATGCTTACTATGCCAAGTTTAATGAAGCAGACCTTACATTTGTACCTTGGCAGTATAACATGGCTATAGTCAGTCTGAATTGCATATTACCCTTTCTGTGGTAAGCTAGACTTCTTACTCCCCTACTGGAATTCAGACCAGTTAACAGGGACTCTGAAGTGTATGCAGCCCAATCCTCTAAATTGATTTTATAAATCCTACTAAATTCAATGAAGCTTAATCCAGAGTTAGTGTCTGTAGGCTTTTATTTTAAGGGCACAATATTATGCATGCTTACACACACACACACACGCGCACACACACACACACCCAACAGCTCCTAGCATTTTCCCACCAGCATAGTCCTAAGGCTGCTATCTGATTTGGAAAGTGGGACCTTCTGAGCATGCATGCATAGATAGGATCTCTCCAGGTTTGCTTACTTTCAAGGCCATCTATGTGCATCCTCTTTTGTTCTTTAGATTCATTTCTGAAACTTTACTGCCCTCTAGTGTAATTCAAAATGTCAGCAATAAGTCACAAGACAACTTCAGGCCATGAAAGAAAACAATGGAAGGGAACCACAGATTTTTATAGACCCGATCTTCAAAATCTTTATGGCAGTCTACTTGCAGCAGAAGTCATGTGCACACAAAAGATAACAGTCTCCTTAGACAGCAGAAGAAATGGGAGAAGAGAAATAGAGTGTTCCAAAAAATTTGACATTTGAAATGTGAATATCTGAGTAACTACATGTCCTAGGCAAATGAAATAGGCTTCATGTTGAACAATAAAAGATTTATCAAAATTAGAACAAGAGATTCAAAGGGATGTAGATTCTATAAGCGATTTCACAAAGCTTCACAAATGTTCAATATGTGCACCACTTGTGACACAACACACATCAAGTCGGTAATCCACCTACTGCCAAATAGGCTGTAGCATGTCTTGCATAACATTGCGTAACTAACATTAGTTAGTTTACACATTTTGTTAAAATTTGAGATCATTTGAGCGAGAATTAGCTATTTTATTAGACTACGAAATGATGTCAATTTTTTTGGGACACCCTGTAGATCATTCTACTAAACCAGATACCTCTAGATGTCTTTTTTCTCTATTGTCCCATCATTTCAATTGCTTATGCATTTACTTTATGAGTTGCCCCTTTAGTCAAAACTCACAGCAATATACACAATGAAAGCAATAATAGAACCAATCACATTAAAATTGTTACTTTAAAATCAGCAACAAAAAACATTTAAAGGAGCTGATCAGCAGATAAAAACATGCAGATTAGTTGTTTACATTAATAAACATTTCTCAAATTTTCTTGGTTTAACCCTTGACACTTTTCTGGCACTATTCCTCCAGTTGTAGGAATCTCCTCCATACATATATTTAGCACAGAGGATGCTGACTCATACCAAGTCACACTATTGGTCCCTCTAGTCTACCTACTTCCACATAGGAGTCTTCCTGCAAACCCCAGTAACTGAACCTGGAAGACAATTTACAAGCTAAACATGTGCTTTACCATTTAACTATGCTCCTTCCCTGGTAATGGTCTCGCAACAATGATGCAAGAAAGGTTAGGATGGGGGACAGTGAGTGGCCCAAATCCAGTTAGATTCACAGCTGAGTGGAGATTTAGCCTGAATATTGATAGCTCAATCCTATGCATGCAAAAGTATACAGAAGTAAGCCTCACGGAAGTCAATGGGAGTTACTCTCAGGTAAGTGTATTTAGGATTACACAGTGGGATTGGCATTTGCATCATATCAACAGATCACTGAAGTTTGTAATCCATAGATTTTAGATGCAATCCTAAATATGATTGGATGGGAGAAAAGTCCTACAATTCCCAGCATTTTCCATCCAGCCATGCATAGCATAATGCCTTTAATTACTGTCAGGATCTTTCGCTATCCTTCAGTAATCCAGAAATTCTTATCAAGATTAACTGCAAGACAGAGAGACGGCTGCGAAAAACATAAGTTTTATTTCCTTCGTCCACCTTATCGCCCAAGTTGGAAGGCTGGACTCTGCCCTGAGAAGAAAATGCAACCTTTTCCTTTGCTGGTTGGTCAAACTGTGTAAGTCGAGGGGCGGAGGCACTGCATGCAGTCACTTGACCCTGAAATTAGCTTCCTGAGAGTCCTAGCAGAATGCTCTCTTACTCACCTGGATTGCAGCCTCCAGCCTCAGACTTGGCTTCTCCTCTCCTCCCTCGCTCATCGCTCAACACCGGTCGGAGCAGGTCCCAGAGAGAAAGACCCACGCTAACTGAGCAGCTGCTCTCGCATGTTGTGTGTGCCAGCACGCTCTTGAGTTCCGGAGTGTCAGGAACTCTCCGTCGATCTTTCTCCACTGCCTCCAAGAATGGAACCGTCGCGTGGTGGGGCCCTGTCGCGGTTACTAAGACAACGGGAACGCCGAGTGCCTTGTGTTGTCATAGAAACAGAACGCGGCCCGGGGTTGTCACGGAGACCAAGGGACGCGGCAAACCGAACTGTTTCTCCAAGCCAGGTTGTATGGAAAGCGGGAGATTTGCTGTTCTCTCACAAGAATGTGACCAGCGACTCCAGAGGAGACGACCTCGGAAATCTGTCACCAACAGTCCTCACACTGTTTTACACAATATCACACTGATGTACAGTGTTGTGCTGCCATAATATTTTTTCCAACAAATTAACCACTATCTCCCTCTTTGAGATATTTGTTTATGCAGGTTGCAATCCAAAGAATTAAATCCAATTGAACATATTGGACTATGGTCCCAATTTTAGGATTGGCATATGACTATTGCTGATGTGTGTGTGTGTAGACTATCTTAACAGTATATCTAAACTGCCTTTCAGCATATGTTTGCAAAATAGTGTACCAGCATCTCATAGTGTTTTTACAATACATATGGAAATAATGCTACACAATTTTGCATATGTTTGAGTAGTAAGAAATGAATTTTACTGTTTACACACACCCACCCCTTTTGGATGAACACATTAATGTGAGAGGGTTTGAGAAGAGCAATGCCACCAGGAAGCCAGACCCTCTCACTAGGCTGGTCTCCTAGCAGGATCATTCAAGGTAGAATGGTCAAAGAGAAGACATCAGACTAAGATGCATCCACCCATTTCAGGAATTACAGTCACATCAGGAGAAGAGAAAAGATATTTCTAATGATGATGGAGGCAGAGAAACTCCTGAAGGGGAGCTACTAGGTAGCAGTGATAGTTGTAGACAACACTGATAGAAGGTCTTCACAGACAATGGTAGTGACGATCAAGCTAGCTCTGGTTAGCACTGCACAGAAGAAAGCCATGGTAAACCATGTCTAACTTTTTCCTACCTCAAAAACATTAAACATTCCAAACTGTAGCAAGAGACAATCCCAGAAGATGAGATTCTCAGTTTGGAAGGCCTGGGAACTAGCTGTTGGAGAAGAAAGGCGAAGAACAAATAGTACATCATCAATAATTATATAATGACTAGGTCAAAGTAAAAACCAAGTGTCTGATATGTACAGAGGTGAAAGCAAAGTGTGATGCTGCACAACACATACTATTGGAACATGGGGCATATGAAGAATGACTCAAGACCATAAAGCAAGGAATGGAATGATTAAAGATATGAATGAAGTGGACTGGAATGGGACATATTCAGTCAAGACAAACACAAAGTGTCTTACTCTAGAAATTACAAAGTCAGAAGAAATGGATTGGTTCTAATACCAAGGCAAGGTATAGTACAGGAAGTAAGGGGCTATAATGCAAAGTCCAACTGAATATTAATCAGAATTCTCAGAAAACCTATTGATATAACCATCAGTCAAGTCTATACTCCAGCAAGAGAAGCTGAAGAAGGAATTGAAAGTGTCCAAAAGGAAATTGATAGCACACCAAAACATGACATGCTGATAATAGCTGACTAGAATGCAAAAGTAGGAAACAAAGTAGAATCAAATCTTCCCAGATAATTTGGATGAGGCCACAGAAATGAAGCAAGCAAATGAGTACTAGATTTCTGTGAACCTGGCCGTCTTTTATCACATATATATGCTCCAGGCAACTGATCAGATGGCTGTATACATGGGCATCATCAGATGGCCAATACAGAAATCAAACAGATCATGTCATTGGAAGTAGAAGATATGTTTTCACTGCCAGAACAAGACCAGGTACAGATTATGGTAGTCACCATGAACTATTAATATTAAAGATCAAAGTAAAGCTGAGAAAGTTCACTAACAGAAGCACAGTGCCAAAATGCAATTTAAAGAATGTTCCTGAAAAATTTAAACTTCAGATAAAAAACAGATTTGCATTATTTAACACAACCATAAACCAAAAGACTCATGGAGTGAAAATAGACACATTAAAGAACAATGCAAAAAACCAATTTCTGTAGCAAAAAGAAAACCCCTAGATGGGCAACAGAAGCAGCACAATTGCCAAGGAAGGGCAAGAATAAAATCTAAAGGTGACAGAAATAGGGTTAGAATTCTAAACAGAACTATTCAACAACTATCACATAGAGACAAAAAGACCTATTGCAACAGCCACTCCAAAGAATTAGAAGAGAACAAAAGCAGAAAAACAAGAGACTGCTTCCAGTATCCCTGCTCCCAGGAATATTATGAATATGCAGAGAAATAAGACTGAGTTTGCTTCTGCATATACTGCATGGCCCAAGCCTGTTAAATTTCCTTCATCATGACAGGCATCCAGCATTACTTTTCACTTGAACATTTATTTCATGTTGTTGATTTTGCCACCCACTTCCTGCCCTATTTTAATTCACCCTCACAACATACAGCAGGCGAGAGAGTCTCTCCTAAATGCTAGGTATTCATCAGTATGAAATATTTGGAAATTATGGAAGGAATGCTATTAGTGGCTTGCACAAACCTTTTGCTTTCCACTTTGTATATATAGATGGAAGGTGTCGGAATGCAATGCAGCTTCCATTCTCCCACTAGCAGGGTTAACTAGTTCAGCCTTCCCCAACCTGGAATCTTCCAGATATTTTGGACTACATCTCCCTTCATCCTTCACCATTGGCTGTGCTGGTAGAGCTAATTGGAGTTTACCATTTTCCTACTTTCAAAGGTATTACATGGTCAAAGAACACTTGGGGTTAATGAATCTCCACAAAAAGCACCCAGAGGTACTTAACATGTATAGGCTTTAAGATGTGTGGCACCATGATACAGTGAAAGTCACAGTAGGTTTTCCAATAATTAAAGGAAGATGGGAGTTAGGTGCCCTGTATAGCTTATTGCCGCTTCCCATGATAACATACAGTGGAACAAGCCTGGCTGAAAACATGGCTTCTGCACAACTAAATCCTGGATCACTTACCAGTTAGAATTCTTTGGGAGGATCAACACACATGGTTAGGGATGCTGCTGTAGACATTGTCAAAAGCATTTTGAAAGCCCAGATAAAGTCTCTCACCAAAGACTTCTGAGCAAACTTAGCAGTAAGGATGGAAGGTCTTTTTATGTCATCAGTGGTTAAAATTATTGTAAACTGTCCATAGAGCTTTGGCTATGGGCTATATTTCAATAAATATATAGAATAAAGAGAGTGGGGAAAATGGTACATTCTCCCCATTGAGGAATGTAAACACTGAGAACCCACAGGGTGCTACATTAGCAAGGATGCTATTCATAAATGAAAAGAATTAGGAGTGAGCCGTGAAATAGCCAGATTTTCCGATGGCAGCAAACTATTTAGTGTGACTAAAACAAGAAAGGAGTGTAAGTAGATCCAAAGGGATCTCTTTTCAGCCTAAAATGGGCCTAAAAATGGCAAATGTACTTCAATGGAAGCACATTAGCTCAAACAAAAAATCCCAAATAAACTTCATGTATAAGCTGATGGGAACAGAATTAATATTGATTGCCCAAGAAAGGGATCTTGGGATTGTGATGGACAGGTCAATGAATGTGTCAGCCCAGTGTGTGGCTGCTGTAATAACAAGCTCCATGTCAGGCATAATTAAGAAAAAAATTGAAAGTAACACTACCACTACCAAGATTACACTGCCCTTCTATAATATGTGACAACTGTATTTAGAATATTTTGTACAGTTCTGGTCACTGGACCTGAAAAAGGACATGATAGAGTTGGGGAAAAAAAGATGGCAACTAAAATGATCAAAGGGTTTGGGTAACTCTTTGAAGAACAGCTAGAACAACTGGGATTGTTTTGTTTTGAAAAAGGCAACTAAGGATAGAAGTGTACAGAATTGCACACAGTGCAGAGAACCGGAGAAAACATTTTTCTTTTTCTCCCATGAAGTTTATTAGTGGTGTATTCAGGACAGAGGAAAAAAAATACTTCTTTAGACATCATCAAGTTAAACTATGGAATTCATTTCATGAGGTATAGTGATGGCTTGCACTTTGTAAGGCTTTAAAAGGGGATCTGACAGATTCATGAAGGTGGCTATCAATGGCTACTAGTCTTGATGGCTGTGCACTGGCATCTGACACCACCTTCAGTCAGAGTGCTGAACTGGACAGCCCTTGGATCTATACTAGCATGGCGCTTGTAGTTACGTGCTGTCAAGTCATCTCCAACTTACGGTGACCCCATGAATGAAAGCCTTCCAAAATGCCCTGTCCTTGACAGCCCCTCTCGGCTCTTCTAACTTCAATACTGTGGCTTCCTTTATGGATTCAACCCATCTCATATTTGGTCTTTTTCTTCCTCTGCCTTAGACTTTTCCAGGCATGATTGCCTTCTCCAGTGAGTCTTGTCATGTGTCTGAAGAATGACAGCCTCACTTTTGCCATTTTTGCTTCTAGGAAAAGCTCTGGCTTGATTTGATCTAGGACCCATTTGTTTCTGTCAGTTCAAGGTAGTCACAAAGCTCTCCTTTAGCACCTTGCTTCAAACACACCAATTATCCTCCAGGTAGCATTTTTCACCGCCCGACTTTCACACACAGACACATTGTGATTGAATTTATGACTGAGCCATGGTACATAATCTCTCAATTTAGATTTCTTTATTATTAACAATAAAGTTTTGTAATTCTTCTGTGGTCATGATTTGTTTTACTATTCAGCTGTACTTCTTTCACTTTCATCAGGAGGCTTTTCTTAGGTTCATTAATTAACATAATCTATGCATATCTACATAAGTTTTCTGGGACAGAATTTGTCTTACCTGGGTACAAAGTTTTAATTTTAAATGTAGAATCTTTGTTTATAGTGACAATGAATA